CAGCATGCTAGGCCTCCCTGTCCATCACCAACTCCTGGAGTCCACCCAAACCCATGTCCATTGAGTTGGTGATGCCATCCAACCATCTTATCCTCTGTCGTCCCCTTCTCCTCCTGCCCTCAATCTTTCCCAGCATCAGGGTCTTTCCAAATGAGTCAGCTGTTCGCATCAGGTGGCCAAAGTATTGGAGTTTCAGCTTCAACATCAGTCCTTCCAATGAACACCCAGGACTGATCTCTGTTAGGATGGACTGGTTGGATCTCCTTGCAGTCCAAGGGACTCTCAAGAGTCTTCTCCAACACCACAGTTCAAAAGCATCAATTCTTTGGCACTCAGCTTTCTTTATAGTCCAACTCTCACATCCATACATGACTACTGGAAAAATTACAGCCTTGACTAGACAGACCTTTGTTGGCAAAGTAATGTCTCTGCTTTTTAATATGCTGTCTAGGTTGGCCATGACTTTTCCTCCCAAGGAGTAAGCATCTTTTAATTTTGTGGCTGCAGTCACCATCTGTAGTGATTTTGGAGCCCAGAAAAATAAAGTCAGCTACTGTTTCCCCATCTATTTGCCACTAATGTCTTTTTTTTCATTTAACTACATGCCATGATCATTGTTTTTCATAAATGCACCTCTAAAAGTATATATCTTAATGCTGATTAATATTCCATAGTGTGAATAGATTTCTTACATTAGGATCATTCAGCTGTATCCACTTTTTTGAGGACCTTGACTTTCAAATACTAAACACTTTTTAAAGTGGCTCGGACTTCATTAACCTTTAATGAAGCCACCCAAAATTGAAATTATTCACGAAGTCAAAACTCTTTAAGAGTTTAAGGAATTTCCTCGTTGTCCAGTGGTTAGGTCTTGGAGTGGTGGGGTTGGGGGCAGGATCCTGCAAGCCATATGGCAAGACCAAAACAGAAAGAGAGTGAGCCACATTCCTTTAAGAGGAAAGGAGTGATACAGTGGTGTTCTGTTGCAGAAAGTATTTAAACAATCTGACGCAAAACACAGATACTGACTAGGCTCAAGGTACAGAACTTGAAGGCACACAGTCGTTTCTGGCACACTTTGAAGGTGAGGCCACAGCCATCTTAGTCAAATGGTTATGTTTTCTTAGGCAGATTTTTCAGCTGATCTCATTTCACAAATAAAGAAGGTTTCCTATTTAAATCCTAAAGAGTAGTAAAGTTCTACTCTTTTTGTGGAGACTGTAGGTACTTGGAAAATCAAATGGCCAATAAGAATAATTGACACCTTCTACTTGGTAACTGTGTGTGTGTGTGTGTGTGTGTGTGTGTGTGTGTGCGCGCGCCCAGTCATGTCTGACTCTTTGTGATCCCAAGAACTTGTAGCTTGTCAAGCCACTCTGTCCATGGAATTTTCCAGACAAGAATACTGGACTGGGTAGCCATTTGCTACTCCAGGGGATAACTATACCTAGTTAAATTGTTTGTGTCTGTGTGTAAAAAAGGGCTCCCAGATGGCTCAGTGGTAAAAAAAAAATCTGCGTGCCAATGAAGGAGACATAGGTATGATCCCTGGGTCAGGAAGATCCTCTGGAGGAGGAAATGGCAACCCACTCCAGTATTCTTGCCTGGAAAATACCATGAACAGAGGAGCCTGGCAGGCTACAGTCCATAGGATAGCAAAAGGTTTGACATAACTGAGTAACTAAGCATGCATGCAGTATGTAAATAGTAAAATATTCAGAACATAGATTTTATATTTGTTCAGTTTTATCACCTGAGTTAATAAGCAGAATATCTGGGCAATAAATGACTTAATCCCTCATTTAGAAGGTGCTAAGGGCTTTCCTAATGGCTCAGCAGGTAAAGAATCTGCCTGCAATGCAGGAGAGCTGGGTTTGATTCATGGGTCGGGAAGTTCCCCTGGAGAAGAAAAGGCAACCCACTACAGTATGCTTGCCTGGAGAATTCCATGGACAGAGGAGCCTGGTGGGCTGCAGTCCATGGGTCGCAGAGCCGGACATGACTGAGTGACTAAACACTCACTCACACTCAAGGGATTCCCAGGTGGTGCACTGGTAAATAATCCACTTGCAAAATCAAGAGACATAAGAGACATGGGTTTGATCCCTGGGTTGGAAAGATCACCTGGAGGAGGAAACGGCAACCCACTCCAGTATTCTTGCCCAGAGAATTCCACTGACAGAGGAATCTGGCAAGCTATAGTCAATGGGGTGGTAAAGAGTTGGACAGGCTGAGTGACTGAGCACATACACACATGATCTGAATGTTTGTATCTCCCCAAAACTCATAGCTTGAAATCCTAATGCCCAAAGGTGACGGTATTAGTAAGCCTTGGCTTTGGGGAGGTGTTAAATCATGAAGGTGGAACCCTCATGAATGGGATTAGTACACCGGACTAAGGTAAATGAACAAGGATTTTCAACATCTTTAATTTCACAAATATTTTAACAGCTAAATCTAATAAAGTGTTAGTCACTCAGTCATATCTAATAAAATCAAGATATAATCTTCCCCCTACATTTTTCTTTTCTTACATAGAATGCATTTTGCCTCACTATATGTACTGTTTTATTATTATAAATTTCTATAGAAAGGAAATGTAATAAACACAATTATTGCTAAACTCCCAATTCAGGACAAGTATTGTAGTTACTTGAACTGGGTAAACAGGAGTAAATTTTTAAGTAGAAAATTAAAGCTCCCATTAGCGCAGCAAATTACCAAGCAAATGTAAACATTTAAAAGAGAAATGTCCAAGGTCACCTTAAAGAGAAAGTATACTTCCTCAGTCAGGTCTCTTTGTAACTTGATAGAAGTTATTTACATACCTAAATACAGTATGTGAGTTGGGGGTGGGGTTTAATGGAGTTTTAGAAAAGGGTAGTTCTCAGAGCAAACTTCTGACCCTTTCTTTCTTCAGCTGAACAATTTGTCCAGCGTGGAAACAGCAGGTCTGAGATTCAAATCCACTAAGTGATTTTGCTTCCCTGAAAATGTTGCATTGTTGTCGTTTAGTCACTAAGTTGTTTCCGACTCGTCCAACCCCATAGACTGTAGCCCACCAGGTTCCTTGGCCCATGGGATTTCCCAGACAAGAATACTGAAGTGGGTTGCCATTTCTTCTCCAGAAAATGTTGCATGGCTCCATTTAATTCATTTACTTAGCAAATAATTACTAAATACCTTTTCAGTGCAAAGTACTTTGCCAAGAGTTGTGTGTGGAGGATGTAAGAATCACTAACGGAGTAGTGGGAAGAGATGTACTTTGGGATCAAACAGACCGGTTAGATTCCCAGCTTCATGGATAAATTACTCCTTTGCAGTTTTTAAGCCAGTAAAATGAAGTGTTTTTTTTTTTTTTAAAGGAAGAAAGCAAGAAGGAAATATAAATATCTGTGACCAAGACACAAGAAGTGCTCAATAAAACTGCCTTTCTCTCTTCAGCTCCACTTGGAGGAGTTTTCTATAAGGTAAGTGATCAAGTAAGCCTTCATAAAATGGGGAAGGGTGTAATTGATTTGGGTCTTAAGAAGGGTTCTTGATTTGGACTGGTTGAGATATGGGAGAGAACAAACTCAGCGACTGACGTGTTTGGATTGGAAGTAGATCCTGTTCTCTGAAACAGACTAGGAGGGTGAGAACAGGAAGCTGCAAAAGTCAGGATGCCTTTTATAATTTAATTCAGTATAGAGCAGGTTCCTAAAAACACAAAGTTATGAGGACAACAGCTTGAAATCAAGGCATCTTCTCTGATTGTATTATTGATTCATTCACCACACACTTTTGATTTATTCAAAGAATAACACAGCATTTAAAATCTACACACTAGAATGTGGCCAGGAATCAAAAGACACTGTCCCAGTTTTGAAGCAGACACATAAACAATTTAAATACGTTTAGAGTTGATAAAGAGTCAGGTAGCACAGCTCTGAAAAGAAAAAGAATTTTTCTTGGGTCAGCTCAACTCTAATTATACGAAAATAAACATATTTTACCAACTGTAAAATTACACGCCACGCTTAAACATTAAAAAAAAGAAAGGGACATTAAGTTTTGGTTTTTTTTTCCCTCCCGAAGTGTCAAACGTAAAGCTCATTCTAGCGATGCTTTTGGAGCTAAACCCGCAGAAAAACACTGAGGAAGCGTGACTGAGTTCTTACTGTTAGTGCTCTCCGAAATCGGTCCTCCACATCGTTTCCTTAAAAAGTAGAAGCTTATGGGAAACACAATCTTGGCTCTTCAAGGAACACGTAACTAGAGACACCAAGGAGAAAGCAGAACGCGGATGCCGCAGTTTTCCAAGTGCTGTCTGCCGTTCCCACGTGGTGGATTTTTGGCAACTCGCCCCGCCTTCCTCCGGATTCAGGGGAAGATTCTAACGCCCTCTGGAGCCGTCCCTAGTGACGTCACGAGCGCGATTCCAGTCTGCGGCCAATCACGCGGCCGGATTCCGGGGGAAGCCCGGGGCGGCGGTGGCGGCCTGTGCGCGTGCGCGAGGTCTCCGCGTGGCTATATAAACATGGCTGGCGTGGCCGCGCGGCGGGGCCGTGCGGAGCGCGCGTAGGGGGCTTCTGGGCGCTCTGGCTTCGTAGGTTTGAAATTTCTGGCGGGGGATCCGCCGCGCCGAGTTTCGGGGGGAGGTGGGAGCCGACGTGACGCCCTTCCGGGAGCCGCGCAGCCGGGCTCCGGTGCATCTGGTCCCGGGGCTGAGGCGCCGGGTTGAGCCGGCGCACGTGTGAGCGCCGCTGAGGAAGCGGCGAGCGGCCGAGCAGGTGTGGCAGCCGGCGGGGCCGCGCGAACGGGAGGAAGGTCCGGGACGCCGGGGTCCCGCTGTCAAGCGCGGCGTGGGTCACTGACTCCTGTGTCGCGGCCCCGGCGCCTCTCCCTAGCGATGCTGTGGAGCTGGAACTGCACCGGAGTCGGCGGCCGCTTGTCAAGCCTCCCCTCGCCTCTGCTCCCGGAACGGCGGCGCCGCGGCTGCCGCTGATCCACCTGGGGGGATGCCCGCGGGCCTCACGGAGCCGGGCGGCGCCGCTACCCCCGCCGGTGTGGGCGCCTCCGGGACCGTGACCATGGCCCCCGCCGCGGCTCTGCCCGTCCGGGTGGAGAGCACTCCGGTGGCCTTGGGCGCCGTGACTAAGGCTCCTGTCAGTGTCTGCGTAGAGTCCTCGGCGTCCCAGCCGCTGCGGTCCCCCGTGGGGACCCTGGTGACCAAAGTGGCTCCTGTCAGTGCCCTTCCTAAACTCAGCAACGGCCCTCGTCTGCCATCTCCTCAGATTGTCGCCGTGAAAGCCCCCAACACCACCACAATCCAATTGCCTGCTAATCTGCAGCTTCCTCCAGGTACGTGGCTCACCTTGATAGCTTTAGCGGGCCAGCTGGCTGTGACAGGGGAAACGTCGCAGCCCCCGATCGCGCCTTGTCGCTGGGAGTTCCAAAGCACTCAGCCCAGAGAACCTTTCAACGTCTCCACTTTGCGGGGCAGTGATTTGGCTTGACAATGGAGATAACCTCTTTGAGTTGAGTCCTTCCTGCATAGTTTTTTTCATATTTAAGGAAAGCATTTTTCACCTAAGGGGCCACAGTGAAAGCTGGAGCAGCATGTTCGAGAGGCCTTTGAGGCACTGGCTCTTATATTCGGGAAGATAGAGATTCCCTCAAGTTTTATTTCGTGTGGAGAAAGGATCAGTTTTTATATCCACACACTTAGATTACTGTGTTGTTTTTTTTTTTAAAGTGTTTTTAAAAGGTTCTTCTGTGTTAAGACCGAAAGATATACTAAAGTTTACTCTGTAGGGCTGTTTTTCTTGACTGAGGCAAAGTTTTTGCTTTGTGATGACTTACATATTATAAATATGCTGGAAGGTGTGTAAGTATTTTATCTTGTTTTCTTGCCTCCAGTGAAAGTCACTTGGAATTTCTGTGGGAGGAAAAGGCACATTTTCTCTTCTTTGGAAAAAAATTCTGCTGGTGATTTTAATTGTGTTCTATGTGTTTTGCTTAGCAGCAGTGGGAGCTCTGACCAGCAAAGGTGGTAAAGAAATGGAAACCTTTTGGTTCACATGATGTCAGTTTCCCCTTAGCAGAGTGAGGAGGCCTCTTTTGTAGCTAATGTTCTGTTTGGTCAGGAACACTGTGGAAAGATTAGTTCTTAACTTTTGATGAACTTGTGTTTTAGTTCTGTATGGTACAGGGGGTTCTTACACTTAAGACTGTGTGCTCCACTGGATACATTTTTTTTTTTTAATGTTTTGGAAGGACATCATCTATTAAGAGAATCATCATAAATTAACCCTGTACAGAACACAGGAGCTAGGTGGACAGAGACTATAGTCTTTTGTAAGACATTGCTTCCTACTAATCAGTCCCTGCAGGGCTTGCTTTTTTTCTTTCTTAACTTCTATACAGGGTTACTGTGCAGTTGGAAAAATTATTTCTCAAAAGAGCTGATGTCAGTTTCCCACTGTCTACAAATTCCAACAAAAAGTAAACCCAAGTGTGCTCACAAAGTGCTCTTAGTCAACATGGTATGTAGTTTCAAGGTCTCCCCTCAATTGGTAAAATAAACAAAACCTTACAAGAGGAACACTAAAATATACATGAATACTTTGCTCAGTATCACACAATAAGTTAGGTTTCCAGTTCACATACTCTATGACTGTGCCATCCACCTTATCCATACTGGTTCCCAGGACTGTGTCCGCCTGGAGGTTTAAAATAAAGAAAATAAGCCAAACTCTGTGGCTTAGGAGTCCTCTCTGGAAGACAGTACTGACCTTCTGAACACTGGACTCACGGACTTGTTGATGTGGCTTCCTGCTGTGCCAGGATCTCCTGGCAGGTCCTGTACATTTCAATCAAGCAGTTCCACTGAATATATTTTGTGTTGGTTCTAAATTGTCACCCTACATACCCTCATATAAAGTAGTTATGAATGTGCTTAGATGAAGTACTCCTGATTTGTTAAAAACGAAATTCCTATCTAGTCCCCAAAGTTTGTTTAGAAACGATCAAAAAGTATTGAGAGGAAAACTTTCAAAAGTGGGAACTCACTGGTGAGAGGGACCCGATCACTTATTGAGAACATACTGTGCTATAAAAATTGAGGTAAAGTTGACATACAATATTATATCGCTGGGTACTTTTTATACATTTCCATTATTTTGTTTGTTGGTCAAAATAGATAGCAAATAAGGAAAAAGTTGTCTAAGAGTAAATAATTTGTCCAGTGCCAGACAACTTATAGATATCAGAGGGAAATTGAATTCAGCTTTGTTTGACTCTTTCCACAGCACTGTGCTTACCACTTGATGTGCGTATATGATATGCCTCCTTGAGTAGCAATGTTAAAAGGTGATTTATAGGATTTTAGAGCCTAATCTTTTTTATTACACAGAGAAACCAAAACTGAAACTTGCTAGAGCAAAAGAGCAGCAAGCCAGGACCACAGCTTAAATATGCACCACGCTGACACTTGTTATGCCGTGGGAGTGCTGTGCTGTGCCTAGTCACTCAGTCGTGTCTGGCTCTTAGCAAATTCATGGACTGCAGCCCGCCAGGCTCCTCTGTCCATGGGATTCTTCAGACAAGAATACTGGAGTGGGTCGCCATGCCCTCCTCCAGGGGATCTTCCCAACCCAGGGATCGAACCCAGGTCTCCCACATTGCAGGCGGATTCTTTACCTCCTGAGCCACCAGGGAAGCCCATGCTGTGGCAGAAACATCCACAAAAGAGAGGAGATGAATTGTCTCTAGGAGTTACTTAGAAAGGAGATAGGATGGTACTTGAGGAGCAGCTTTTGGAATTTCTGCTCAAGTGTAGCAGAAGAGCATACTCAGGTTTCACTCTTGTAGGTGCACAAGAAGATAACTGATAACCTGAGGTGTGACATAGAAACACTGATTCAAATAACATTTGGACACTGATTAATGTTTTAAAGAGTTTATCAGTCTTGTACTAGTTCTTTTATAGGCCAAGGATTAGCAGAGGATTACTCACAGATGCTTAAATTACATAGGAGTCAGCTCTGATTTTTCCAAGGTAATGAATTCTTTGTGTTTGATTTCTCTTTACTTCAAAATTTCCTCTGTGAACTGAACTATTTTTTTAAAATGTACATATGTACCACAGGTTTTTCTTGGGAGCAGGAGCTGGAAACAAAAAAGAGGGGCATTGTGAGGAAATGAAAGAAACTGTAGCAAAGCCCTGAAGATTATTCTGTGGAATATTTTTGGTAATCTCTTCAGTCTTTTCTCTTTTATGAATTTGTGGGATTCAGACCAGACTGTGGCTCTTTGCATTTTTGGTATCCTGTGTCTCTTCTATCATGTATTTGAGAGCGATGAGGAAGGACTTGATTGCTTCTTTTATGCCACAGTTCTTTTACGAACTGTGCTTCATAAATTCTGCTTCCATAGTCTTACTGTACAGAAGTTTGTGAAAGTTGCTGGTGAAATGGATCAGGTCCTTTTTCATCAATTCCTTCATGCTGAAACATGGCGTAGGTTTTGCATCTTTCTAGAATTCTGAATCAGCACCTGGATAAACTTGTGGTTCTTGTTTTCACCCCAGCTTTGTCAGAGGGATATTCCATGGTCATCTGCTCCCATGGTTGTCCCAGTACTCCTGGACAACTCCTGGCAGTTGTCTTCAGTGGTCACCAGTGCCCCGGTGACTTATCTGGTAAATAATCCGCCCACAATGCGGGAGACCTGGGTTCGATCCCTGGGTTGGGAAGATCCCCTGGAGAAGGGAATGGCTACCCACTCCAGTATTCTGGCCTGAAGAATTCCATGGACTGTATAGGCCATTGGGTTGCAAAGAATCTAACACAACTGAGCAACTTTCACTTTCAGTGCTCACTGTATGTACCAGCCACAGTTTGGATTTCAAGGGCTGTGAAGTCACTTTGACTCACATTTACCCTTACAGCGTTAATAACAACTACTACTGACAACTTTAAAATTCATAAATTTGCTCAGAAGTATTGTCTCATTTGATCTCTTTAACAGTCCTGCAAAGTAGGTATGTCTCTCAGTCCACAAACATGAGATGTCTTTCCATTTATTTAGATCTTTAATTTCTTTAAACAACATTCTGTAGTTTTCAGATATTGCTTTTGTACTTTTTTTTTGTTAAATTTATTCCTAAAGTGTATTATTTTTTATCTTATTGTAAGTGGAATTTTTTCTTAATTCTCTTTACAGTTATTCATTGGAAATGTATGGAAATGCAGTTGATTTTTGTTTACTGACCTTGTATCCTGCTTCCTAGCTGAACTCATTTCTTAGTTTTAATAGGTTTTTTTTTTATCATGGATCTGTTTGGATTTTTATATACAAAATCATGATATATGTGAATAGATAGTTTTACTGTCTGTTTTGGATGCCTTTTATTTTCTTGTATCATTGCCCTGGTTAGAATGCTCAGAACAATGTTAAATACAAGTGGTAGTGATTGTAGGCATCCTTGTCGCGTTTCTCATTTCAGGAATCCTGATCTTAGGGTAAAAGAATTTAGTCTTTCACTGTTAAGTATGATGCTAGCTATGTGTTTTAAGCCAACCTTGCGTATTGAGATAAGTATCACTAGATCATGGGGTATAACACTTTTTAAATGTTGCTGAATTTAGTTTGCTAGTACTTTGTTGAGAATTTTTGCATTGGTATACATAAGATATTTTGGTTTTAATATGAGGGTAATACAGACCTTACAGAATGAATTGACACGTGTTTTCTATTCTGTTTTTTTAGAAGAATTTATGAAGACCTAGCATTTATTTTTCCTTAGATATTTGGCAGAATTCATCAGTGAAGCCATGGGGACCTGAGCTTATCTCATGGATACTATTTTATATTATTCATTCAGTCTGTTTGTTAGAGGTCTATTCAGGTTGTCCATTTTCTTAAGTTAGTTTTAGTAGTTTATTGTGTGTCTAGAAATTTGTCCATTTCATATAATTTATCTAATTTATTGGTTTATAATTGGTCATAGCATTCAACTAGAATCCTTTCTGTAAGGTTAGGTGTAATATACCCTCTTTCATTCCTAATTTTAGCAATTTGAGCCTTTTCTTTTTTCTTGGTTAATCTAGGTCAAGATTTCTCAGTTTTTTAATCTCTTCAAAGAACCAACTTTTGATTTTTTTTCCTCAGTTGTTTCTCTATTCTCTATTCCTCTGACCTCTGCTCTAATCTTTATTAATTTTCATCTGCTTGCTGTCATTTTTATTTAGTTTTTTCTCAATATCTTAAGATAGAAGGTTATAAAGCTATTACTTTAAATTATCCTTCTGTTAAAATACAGGGATTTACTTTCTGTAGTCTGTTTTCAGCCTGAAGAACTTAATTTGGTATTTTCTGTCTGATGCTGGCACCCAGTCCTTTCTGTTTTTATCTGAGGATGTCTTTTCTTTTTTTTCACTTTTTATTGGGGTATAGTTGGTTTGCAATGTTGTGTTAGTTTCAGGTGTACAGCAGAGTCAATCTGTTATACACACACGTATGTCCACCCTTTCTTAGATTCTTTTCCCATATAGGCCATTACAAAGTATTGAGTAGAGTTCCTTATGCTATACAGTAGGTCCTCACTAGTTATCTATTTTATATATAGTAGTGTGTATACGTCAGTTCCAATCCAGGATGTCTTTGTCTCCTTTTCTGAAAGATATTTTCATTGAATATCTGATTGTTGGTTGATAATTGTTTTTGTTTTTCTTTTTCCCCAGCAAGTGGAATATGTCATACTCCTGATGTCTGGCGTCCATTGTTTCTGATGAGAAGTTAGCTGTCAATCCTTTTAACACAGTTCTCTTGTATATTTTTCTCTTACTGTTCTCAAGATTTTGTCTTTGTAGATTTTTATCATGATGTGTCTTTGCATTTATCTTATTGGGTTGACCGAAAAGTTCATTCAGGTTTTTCCGTCTTATGAAAACTCAAATGAACCATTTGGCCAATTCACGACTTAAGAGTTTGTTTAGCTACTTTGATGTTTATTTTTCAACACATTTGGGAAGTTTTTAGCCCTTATTTCTTTGGATGTTTTTCTGCCCCTCTCTCTCTCTCCCTCCTCCCCACTTCTTGCCCTCCTCTCCGGTGTTCACATCAGTCCTGTGCTGATGTGCCTCTCACCGTGCCAGGTTTCTGTGAAGCACTGCTCATTTTTCTTCATTCTTTTTTCTCTCCATCCTTTGGATTTCATAATCTCTATTGAACCGTCTTCAGGTTCACTGACTTATGCTCATTCAAGATTGCTGTTTATCCTCTCTAGTGAAATTTTTATTTTAGTTTTTGTACCTTACAATTACAGAATTTTTTTTTGTAATATCTGTTTCTCTAATAGTATTCTCTACTTAATGACAGAATCATCATCATATCTTCCTTTACTTCTCTAAGCATAATTTCCCTTAGTCTTTTGACATATTTATAACAGTTACCTTGAAGTCTTCTAACATCTGATTTCACTCATAGGTGGTTTCTGTTGCCTGCCTTTGTGTCATTCTTTTTTCTTTGCATGTCCTATCATTTTTAAATTAAAACTAATATATTGAAACTTCCAGTGGCTAAAGCTCCGTGCTTCCAATGCAGGGGGCCCAAGTTTGATCCCTGGTCAGGGAACTAGATTCCACATGCTGCAACTAAAGATCCTGTGTGCCGCAACTAAGACCCAACACAGGCAAATAAATAAATATTTTTTAAAAACTAGCAGAGTGACTTGAGGTATTGGTCTTTACTCCCTTGAGTGGATTATTGTTGTTTGTTTTTTAAGTGTCTGGCTGAACTATTTTAATGAAGTCTGTTTCCCTCAGAGGGCACAGCTTTAGGCATAAGCACAGCCTCCCTCCGATGACAGAGGTTTTAGCAGGGCTCTTTTTGACTGTTTCTTTCTCTTATAGCTCTGTTAAGCTTTCTGCCTCTGCTGGTATCATGCTGGTATCATGAGACTCCACTCACTGCCAGTTACCCTCTTGTTTTCAACAGCACCCTAAGGCCTAACTAGCTTCACAGTCTAATTCAATTAAATATGGACTCATCTACAGGAAGTAGTTTTTTGAGGTCATTACTTGAGGTTCTGACCCCAGTGAAGTGAAGTGAAGTGAAGTGAAGTCGCTCAGTTGTGTCCGACTCTGCTACCCCATGGACTGTAGCCTACTGGGCTCCTCCGTCCATGGGATTTTCCATGCAAGAGTACTGGAGTGGGTTGCCATTCCCTTCTCCAGAGAATCTTCCTGACCCAGGGATCAAACCCAGGTCTCCCGCATTGCAGGCAGACGCTTTACCGTCTGAGCCACCAGGGACGCCCTTGTGACCCCAGTAGGGCCGTTCTTAGTTGTTTCTTTGTCTTGTTCTCTCTGGTAAACCAGAGATAGACCTGTGACTTAGCATAGCCTGTATCTGTTAGGAAGATACCAAAAGCCTTTCTTTTAATTGTTCATTGTGTTTGAGAATGCCCTTAGTTTGCCCTTTCCCACACTCTGAAATAAAGTCAGTTTCTCTTGGGAGATGTTTGGAGCAGGTACTCAGGACAGTGGCATACTTCTTTCTGAGTGATGTCTCTGGGGTGCTTTAGAAGTGGGGTACTGGGCTTGGGTGGTGACCTCTAGTCTGCTCTGCTTACCTCTTCCATCACGGAACTCCCACCTCATGAAAGAGCTGGGGTGAGGGTGATGGGGGCCCAAGTATTCTCAGTTGAGCCTTCCCTTTATGAGTAGGGATGAGTAAAACAAGAAGCCTGGAAACTCTTGGATGCACTTGTCTCCAATTTATTCTCTTCCGTATGCAGCTTGAGGTGGCAGAGATGCAAGATACTGTCCCTGAAAAGTAACAAAACCCTCAACTGGAAGCTTGGGAGAGAGGGACACCCTATGTTGGCCACATTACCTAAACTGAGGGAAAGGGGGTGGGTCATGGTTCAGATGCCACAGATTCTTGTTGTCTTACTGAGTTTTAGTAGATTCTCTCTAATAAATTGTCTAGTCATTTTCTGTATGCCTTTGGGCAATTTCTGAAGACTTTAAATAGTTGTTTTTAAAAATAATTTTCACCAGTTATGGGGAATGGCTTTATGGAGCTCTTCATGCTGCCATTCCAGGAATGGAACTCCAGCTATGAATATTCTTGCTTGTACCTGCTACTTATACGGACAAGAATTTCTTTACAGTAGAAATACTGGGTTAGAGGGTATGCAAATGGGAACCAGTTTGGCACAGTCGTGTAGAGTTAAATGAAGCAGTTGTACCAAACTAGACTACCAGCTTCAAGATTTTAAGAGTTTTTGTTGCTACACATCTGTCTAACACTTAATATTGTCAATGGACTTCTTGATTTTTGTCTGCCTAGATAGACACAAAGTGATATCTCACTGTGGTCTTAATTTACCTTTCCCTGTCATTGGTGTCTGTGTTTCTTTTGTGCATTTTGGATGTTCATTCTTTGAATATATGTGAGTTAAATTTTTTTTTTCCAATTTTTGTGCTTTGTGTTTTTACCTCATGGTATCTTTGGCTGAGCAAAGTTTTAAAAAATATACTGGTATGTATCAAGCTTTATTTAGTTAAGAAATTCTTCCCTGTTCCAAGTTCAGAATGACAGTTTTCTACATTGTTTAAGAGGTTAAAAGTTTTTATTCTTGTATCCTTGATGTCCTTGGGTTTTTGTGCATGGTCTGGAACATTTCATCTTTTCCATATAAGTAACTAATTATATAGTAGCTCTTTTTCTCACTGATCTGCAGTACTCTTAGAAAAATTTCATATGACGTATCTGGAGGTTGGGATTTTCTATTCGGTTCCATTGGTCAGTTTGCATAGTCTTGTGCTGTTACCATACTGTCTTAACTGTAGCTTTATAAATAGTTTGATGTCATGAGGAAAAGTGTTTTGCCTTTTTCAGGAGTATCTCATCCATACATTTAGACTTTTAATATTTTAAATAGCTATGAATAACAACATTTTTCTGTATTATATATTGTAATTAGTAGACGTAGAATTCAGTATGTACTAACTATTCACTTATTCAGAACATTTTACAGCATTGAAAGAAATGGGAGAACAAAATATATGAAGATTATGCTTCATTTATTAGCTCACGTTTTGTTTTCTGTTAACTACAGGAACCGTTTTGATCAGAAGTAACAATGGTCAGCTGATGTTGGTATCTCCTCAGCAAGCTGTAGCAAGAACCGAGACCACAAGTAACATTACTTCAAGGCCAGTGGCACCAGCAAATACGCAAACCGTCAAAATCTGTGCTGTGCCGGTAGTATACCTTAATGTTTTCTTCATCCTCCTTAGTTTTCTAGCAATTACCTTCATATAAGTGTGTATGGATTTGCCAGTAAAAATAATAGAAAAGATGATTCTGCTCAACTTTTTGAATTAAGCTACTTTCCTTGAATATGTTAATTTTATCAAGATGTTTGGTTTTGTCATTTGGTAAAATTAAAAATTTAATCTTCGTACTCAGATTTTGTTGTCCTCAAGGGAATGTTCAAAGGGCTATTTGCATCTCTAAATGGGAAGAAAATAACCATTCTCCTTCCATTTTAATTTGTGGTAAGACATCAACACTACAGTTTACAGTATTCATTTTTATCTATATCATACAGGAGTTATCTTTAAAAAACTAGAAATCTACTATAATATTTCATTAACTTGGCATTGTTAAAAGGTGATTTATTTTACATACATGATCATCTTTCTAGGTATCTAAAGCTTATCCTGTGTGTGTCAGAGTTAATAAAAAATATTTTTATGGGCATCTTTCTTTGGCTAAACAGAAAATACAGAATGTAGTATAGTAATTTTTTCATGAATCAGGCTCATCCTGATAAAAAGGTTCATTGTATTCTGTGGTAATATCATCTCTGCCAGTCTGTCCCAACCTACTGTGTTCTGTGCTCCCCTAATTTGATTCTAGGTGCTCAACCAGTCATTTTCTCTATTTCTGTATCAGTGATTGCTACTCCTTCCTTTTCCTGTTTACTATGGGTTGAGAAGATAGGTTAGCAGACTTTTGTTTATAATCACATATTAAATAAGAATCTAAAGGGGAGGGGCATGGTAGTGGTAGAAGATTTAAGAGACACAAACTACCATGTATAAAGCAAATAAGCTACATGAATATATCGTACAACACAAGGAATATAGACAGTATTTTAAAATAGTTATTAATGCAGTATAACATTTAAAAGTTGGGAATCAATATATTATAAGCCTTAGACTTATATAATATTGTACCTCAACTATACTTCAATAAAAAAGGAATAATAATTATGTGATACGATGTAGATGTTAGTGAATGTTATGGAATCATTGCATTATATAAATGCATTATATAAATTCCCATTCATGTTAGGGAATCATATTGCATTATATTAAATGTATCAAATCAACACATCACACACTTTCAACTTATGCAGTGTTATATTTCTATTATATCACAATAAAAAAAGTTTAATTAGTGATATTTTTTTAAAAGACTGAAAGGATATCAGCAATGAAAATGGCAGAAAAAAAGAATCTGTGTTTTCTGTGAGAATCAAAGAGTAAAATTCAAGTTTTTAACGCTGAAATACTGTGATGTTTAGGAATATTAAATCAACTCTTCACCTTCTGAGCCATCAGTAAACCATAGTAACAATTTACTAGTTAGGTTAATAGTAGAAAATATGTATAAAGTTCATAAGGTTATAAAGCAAGTTATAGCAAAGAAGTTTGTTGTGTTAAAGTGTTTGGATGTTTGCTATAATACTGATTGATTTTAAACTACTAATATTGATGACTCTCTATCATCTCCCCCTTCCCCCAAGAATTCCAGTTCACAGTTAATCAAGAAAGTGGCAGTGGCACCTGTTAAACAATTGGCACAAGTAGGAACTACAGTGGTAACCTCTGTTCCAAAGCCTTCCCCAGTGCAAGTAAGTTGTGACTTGTGGTCATGTGCACCCTGGTTATAGTCTCATATTTTGTTATTATTGTTCGCTATTTCCTGAAAAGAACGATCCACTGATATATGAGGATACTTATTAAACTGGGAACTGTTGGAAGTATGGGAAACACAAGATGAACATGGTATATAGTCTTGGAATATCATGTTTATTTGAATGTATTAAATTAATACAAGCGTGTCTAATGTTTATGTGTCCCGGGGTCTATAAGCAGGTGCTGGGACAGAATTTTGGTGTCTGGGATGTTTATAAAGGATTGATACCTGTGGACTGGAAGGAGAATAGGAATTTGAACTAAATACAGGCCCAGTAATGCCTTGGCCACCCTGATGGGGAACTCTGGAGCAAGTGTGGCCTGTCAAGAGTTGTCTCACCGAGTGCCACCTTGGTTGGGTGAATCACAGTTCCCCCTCTGTGGTCAGTCACTGGATGTGGACTCTCCAGGGAGAGTTGTGTTCATGGCAAGGTAATGCTCTGTAGCTGAAACAGATTCTGAAGGAACTGACAACTGTCATCTCTCTAAATAGCATCCCCAACAGCTAGGATAACATATATCTTTCTTTCTGATGGTATATCGCAGTCTCCTCCTTGAAGCACTGGGACATACATGTTGTAAACCAACTCTCCTTGGATTCTAATAGGTTTCTTCCTTGGGGAAGCAGAGAAGAGGAAGTTAGTAGGGTGGACTACAGTCCCCACCGCTGCAGCTGACATCATCATTTCCCTCCACCATCCGTTCTGGATTCCTCCCACTCTTACCTACCAACTCTGTTGGGTCTTAACTGACTTTTATCCCTGAGGGATCTGAGGTCCAAACTGCAGTTTGTTTGTTTTTTTTTTAATAAGTTTGTTTATTTCTTTATGGTTGTGCTGGATCTTCATTGCTGTGCATGGGCTTTTCTCTAGTTGCAGAGAATGGATGCTGACTCTCTGGTTGCAGTGCACAGGCTTCTCATTGTGGTGGCTTCTCTTGTTGCGGAGCACAGGCTTTAGGGTGCATAGGCTTCAATCATTGTGGCACGTGGGCTCAGTAGGTGGGATCCCTGGGCTTAGAGCACAAGCTCAAAAGTTGTGGTGCTTAGTTGTTCCTCAGCATGTGGGATCTTCCTGGATCAGGGATCAAACCCATGTCTCCTGTGTTGGCAGGCAGATTCTTTACCACTGAGCCATCAGGGAAGCCCCACCACGGTCTTTTTAGGCAAGAGTTGTGGCACTTGTCCACTTATCACCGTAATTGGACAAGGAAATAACCAAGAGCCAGTAAGTGGATCACCTGGATTCACTGCATAAACTCCTTGACTTTCACTGTATAAAAGCAACCTTCCCTATTCCAGATGTTACCAGGTCTGTTACCCCTGTCATGATAATGACTCTTCTCTTTGCTGCTGGTTGGTAGAATGTGTTTTTGTCCATATAAAATTTTTTGATTGAGTGAGTACACCTAAGTCTTAAAAGATGGAGGATGGAATTCTGTCTTCATAGAGTATTGTCTCTGAGTTCGCACTTCACCTGGTTTCTGCAGGCTGTTCTAAACTAAGCAGGGTCCTGCCAGATGTGATACAATCAGTGGATCCCGTGGTCACGGGCCCACTGTTTCCCTTCCTTTGCTGTATAGAAGGTACATCTTCCTGGAACATGTTATGTGAAATCCCATGCTGTAGATCAAGCGTGGTGTTTAAGGTTTCAAAATTGTTTAACCATATTACTTCCTCTAACATTAGAAATGATGAGCAGTGAATCTGATTTTAAACATAGTTTTTCTTTTCCCTAATAACGGCTACCATTTATTGAGCACTTAATATGTTGAACACTTTAAGAGTTTTATATCCCTCACCTCATTTCATTTCGTCCTGTGACTACTCTATGAGGAAGTATTATCTCCATTTTATGTGTGTGAAAATAGGTTTAGAGAAGTTAAGAAATTTGCATGATTTCTGCTAACATGTAGCAGAGGGGCATTTGAGTCAAGGTCTCTGTCTGACTCTGGAAGCTGTTCTTTATCACCTCTGTGCTGATTGTCCCAAACGCTAGGTCCCCCCAAACTTGGGTTACTCTAAGGAGCTCATTGGGCCAAAGAGCATAAATTGAGGCCTCTTGGTATCTGCTCTGTATTGTAAGAAATAATTATGTGTCTTAAAAGGGGATTTTCTTTTTTGATGATCAGTCAGATATAGGCACCAAATACCACCACAGAGAGGTACGTGGAAGTGAAAGAGATTTATTATACTGGCAGGTCTTAGAAAAGGGGGCCTGGCATGCCATGCAGGGGGGCACATGGGAGGAGATCTGGGGCAGACTCACCAAATGGGTGGTGTCTGAGAGAGTGAGGACCTGGGGGGCAGGTGCCTGTGTTGAGAGTTCGTATGCATTGAATTTCACTGGTGAGTTTGAATGGCACTAGGTCACAGTCAGGAGGGCAGAAAGAGAACTTGTGGCAGGGACCAGCCTTTTCACCCTGGGTCACCTGGTCACCTGGGCGAGGTGTTCACAGCTTCTTTGTGGGATGTTGAGGCACCAGGAAAATATGAAGTTGAAGAATTTATAAGATGGTTTTATGAAAGATTTTCTCTTCTGCGGTACTTGGAGTATATCATTTCTTTTATCTTTTTGAAAAACATTCATCTTTTATTTTTGGATGTGCTGGGTGGTTCTTTGTTGCTGCGTGGGCTTTTCTCCAGTTTCGGCCAGCAGGGGCTACTCTTCATTGCAGTGCGTGGGCTTCTTGTTGCAGAGCACCGGCCCTAGGAGCACAGGCTTTCGCAGTTGCGGCACATGGGCTCAGCAGTTGCGGCGTGCGGCCTTAGTTGCTCTGCAGCAGGTGGAATCTTCCTGGACCAGGAATCAAACCTGTGTCCCTTGCATTAGCAGGCGGATTCTTATCCACTGCACCACCAGGGAAGTCCTATCAGTTTTTTAAATTCTATCTATTTCTTAAAGATTTAGTACATGCAGTTGTTCCAAAATGATATATATGTGTGTTGTTTCATTCTTTTCTACCATTGCTCTTTCCATGTAGTGTGTGCATAACTCTTTAATTTAGACTGATGTATATTTCAAGCTGGGTCGCTCCTCAGTGGAAGGCTAAGGCAGTAGAAATATCAGTGAATTAGTAAATAATATCTTTGTACACTTTGAGAGGCCAATCAGTTCAGTTGCTCAGTCGTGTCTGACTCTTTGCGACCCCATGAACTGCAGCACGCTAGGCCTCCCTCCCCATCACCAACTCCCAGAGTTTACCCAAACTCATGTCCATCGAGTCAGTCATGCCATCCAACCATCTCATCCTCTGTCATCCTCTTCTTCTCCTGCCCTCAATCTTTCCCAGCATCAGAGTCTTTTCAAGTGAGTCAGCTCTTCGCATCAGGTGGCCAAAGTATTGGAGTTTCAGCTTCAACATCAGTCCTTCCTGTGAATACCCCGGACTGATCTCCTTTAGGATGGATTGGTTGGATCTCCTTGCAGTCCAAGGGACTCTCAAGAGTCTTCTCCAACACCACAGTTCAAAAGCATCAATTCTTTGGCACTCAGATTTCTTCATAGTCCCAACTCTCACATCCATACATGACTACTGGAAAAACCATAGCCTTGACTAGATGGACCTTTGTTGACAAAGTAATGTCTCTGCTTTTTAATATGCTATCCAGGTTGGTCATAACTTTCCTTCCAAGGAGTAAGCAACTTTTAATTTCATGGCTGCAGTCACCATTTGCAGTGATTCTGGAGCTCAAAAAAATAGTCAGCCACTATTTCCCCATCTATTTGCTATGAAGTGATGGGACCAGATGCCATGACCTTAGTTTTCTGAATGTTGAGCTTTAAGCCAACTTTTTCACTCTCCTCTTTCACTTTCATCAAGAGGCTTTTTAGTTCTTCTTCACTTTCTGTCATAAGGGTGGTGTCATCTGCATATCTGAGGTTATGATATTTCTCCCGGCAATGTTGATTCCAGCTTGTGCTTCTTCCAGCCCAGTGTTTCTCATGATGTACACTGCGTATAAGTTAAATAAGCAGGGTGACAATATACAGCCTTGAAGTAGTCCTTTCCCACTTTGGAACCAGTCTGTTGTTCCATGTCTGGTTCTAACTGTTGCTTCCTGACCTGCATACAGGTTTCTCTAGAGGCAGGTCAGGTGTCTGGTATTCCCATCTCTTTCAGAATTTTCCACAGTTTATTGTGATCCCAGTTTTAGACATTTCTTAGAAATGAGGGTCTAGAACCTGGATGACTCTGTGTAGTCTGTTAAATTTGCATACAGTTCATTTCACTGACTAGTATACGTGATTTTTCACAATTTATTTCACATATACCCAAGCATTTTTCTCTCCTGTCCCCTAGACATGCCTATCAGTGCCAGTGTGGTCTTGAAAAGCATGGCAATAGCATTACCTGGTCTAGCATATGGAGAGTTAATGATTAACACAGTTCATCCATTATAGCAGTGTGATTACACATAGTGTAAGGGTGGAATCATGTAACTCTCCATGCCTCTTAAGAGGTGCAAGTATCAGGTGAGGTACAGGTAGTTGCTATATTAGTAAGAGTTACAAAGGACAGATTTTTGTGCTGGAGACAGGACAAAATATTGACAAGGAAAGTAGAGATGCTATAAATGCTTCTGCTCACAAAAAATAGGACTCTTCCTGAGATTTTCCTCATTTTGCTTCATAAGGAAAAAGGACAGTAGTTCCCCCGAGGAACTCCTCTCATTGGTCCGAAAGCTGAAGTTCAACATCACTTTCTTAAATATAGTAGTACAGAGAATTAATGGCAGAGTACAAAACATTCACTGAAGAAGTATGTATTTACTGTCTATAAACCTAAAAAAGTTTATTAGAAAATCTCCAAAAGGATTCAGAGGAAACTGTATAGTACTTTATCTCAGTATGGTTGTCTCAAATATTTATTACCCAATTTGTGATTTCTTGTATTAAACTTTTTATCCTGCAGGTGGTGCTGTAATCACTCTTCATTTAATTGGGGCTAGAAGAAACAACTGAGATTCTTTTCCATGTGAAAATAACACAATCACATAATATTTGTTATTACAAATTTCAAAGATATTACTTCTCTAATAAGTCTACATAAAAAGTGGCTTATCTGAATATAAGATGATCAGTAGATCTCTCAGCTTTGTACTTAAATAAAAAGCAAAGTATTGCAGAATAGGAAATTGTGTATTTTCATATAAAAACTTACTATTTCACATCCTTTTTGGAGACATATTAATATATTTGAGGACTGTGCGCTTGGCACTGTTTTTTAAAAACAATCCCAGGATAGTAGGTACCATTGCTATCCTTGTTTTCTTACAGATAGGAATCGAGAGATTAGCAAGATTAAGTAATTTACCTGAAGTGGATGCTTAGGTGTCAATGAAAAATAATAGGTAGTTAATGAAACCCAGAAATGAAATGAAACCTAAAATAGGTGAGAATGAAACCTAGAGGTACTAGAATCCAGAGCTGGTAAACGATTTTACACTGCCTTAGACTAGTAGAGCATAATACAAAAGCACGAAAGTCGAGATCCATCTGTAGTCTTAAATGTGAAATGAGGCACCCACGTGATACACAGCATAGTAATGCGTATCTCAGTATCTACTGCTTTCAATTTCAGTCTGTGGCTGTGCCAACTAACGTGGTCACAGTTACTCCTGTAAAGCCCGTGAATACTGTAACGACCCTGAATCCTTCAAGTTTGGGAACAGCATCTGCCCCCTCAAATGAGCTCAATCTCAAAACAGAGAACTCGGCCGCTGCTCAGGCTAACCCTAACCTTTCTCCGGTAAGCTCTCACTTGCACCTTACCTAAATCAAGCACGCTACACATTTTCTGGAATTCTGTTTTCTAGCCAACATTTGTGTGTGTTTGTATTTCTGTATTTAGACGATGCTAGAAAATGTGAAGAAATGTAAGAACTTCCTCGCAATGTTAATAAAACTAGCGTGTAGTGGATCCCAGTCCCCGGAGATGGGGCAGAATGTGAAGAAGTTGGTAGAGCAACTTTTGGTAAGTTTGGACTATAAAAGCTCTGTAAGAATCCATACAACTGGTTTTCAATGGGGAATAAATAAATATTTTTAAATGAAGTTTATCTTAAATGGATTTTTGGATAAACTTTACTTTTGCTTCTTGAAAGCTGTGTAATGATTGTAAGTCTTAGAGTCATAAATCTAGGCTATCCGGCTGTTGCCCCGTATCCATGGGGGTTGGTTTTAGGACCCAGTGTAGATACCAAAATCCCCGGATGCTCAAGTCGCATAGTTGACCCTCCCTGTCTTTGGGCTCCACATCTGCGATTGGACCAATCACGGGTTGTAAATCTTGTAGTACCCCATCCTTAACTGGTTGAATCTGCATATGCGAGTCTGCGCACACGGAACGCGGGGATCCAGAGAGCAGAGTGTGTATTACTTTTTGTTTGCTAGTCTTGCTTCTCTTAGCCTAAAAACAGCTTTAGAGAGAAGGTTGATTTTTTTTTTTTTGGTCAGGTAAACTTATTTGGGGGCATATTTGGCCTCATGGAAAGAGATGATTTAGAAAGTATTTTGAGAGCTTTTCTCCAGGTCATTATAGGTATTGTTTATAGTCCACTGGTTTATCTTGTACCTTGAATGGATCTTTCACCCATGTATGATTTTTGTAACAGCTCACATTTGGTCGTCTGGAAAATAACTGGTTCAGTGGGTTGTATAGATCTTCCAAGTGTTGACAGATCTGTTTTTTAAAATATCAAAAAATCATACACGTAATCTAACAATCCCCTCAGAAAATTTTTTCAGTACAGGTAAACTATCAAATTCGGATTATGGTTACACATTTTCCAAAATTTTAATTTTGACTTGAGAGCGCTGATTTTTATCATTAGCAGCAAAAACTGACAATTGTTTTCCTCACAGTGACAGGCTTGCTTCATTTGTTTTTTTCCTTTTGAGAGAAGGTCTCTCAAAATACCCCAATGTGAATAACCACAGGTGGTTTGATATTCTTTCCAGTAAACGAAAAAAATAACAACAAAACACAGCTAATTCAGCTAGCAGCTCAGTGGAAAATTGCTTTTCCTTGAGTATCTTACTTTGGCCTGCTCTGTGTGTGGTTCCCAGTAGGTTACATGAAATATTTTAAAAAGATATCTAGTAAAGTGTTGAGATTTGGTATTTTACTGTTTGGTCAAAGACATTTTCAAGTGGAGCTGGTTCTGTTTTTTGTTTTTTACCATACCTGCTTTGCAATGTAGAATATAACAACTATTTAAAACTGCCAGCAGTTTTATTCAGTGTTGCTTTTGTACCATTTGTGCAAATCTCAACACAGTGAAAAAGGCCCCAAAATGATTAGTGTTAATGTGAGAATAATTTAGACCTCATAGACCCCTGCAATGTTTAGAGTCCAAAGTGGTATGGAAGGGTTCCTAAGCCCTTTGAAACAATAGCATGTATATTATTGTGGCCTTGTAATAGCATTCTAAAAATACAGTCCAGTCACAATTAAAGTAATTTAAAATTTGGGAAGGCAAAGCAAAACAAAATCCAAAACCCCCACACCAGGTAACTTTTCAGATTTCTGCCCTAAGTAACATAGGACTCCTGTGTTTTTACTTCTTAGTTTGTTCTTAACGGACTGTGGTCTTAATACTGTCACCTTACCATTTAGCCAGCTCTCCTCTCACTTTCACTTTGCTTACTGAGATCTTAAAAAATAATAATAATTGCTTCATTGTATTCTATATGAAGAAAGCATCTGTTTATTCACTTTGTAGGGGACATGAAAAAAAAAACAACCCACCTGTATTTAATGATAGACTTTGACTTTATCATTGTTGGAAGCTTGCTATATCTCCAGTCATGAATCATACACTTTTCCTCTTGTAAAATATTTGTAGACCTAAAAGTGTTTTTCTTTCTCCTATTCTTCAGGATGCAAAAATTGAAGCTGAAGAGTTTACTAGACAACTGTATGTTGAACTAAAGTCTTCACCTCAGCCTCACCTAGTTCCTTTCCTTAAGGTAGAGTTATGTGTTACTTTGAAGAAATTGTTTGGATTAGATTACTTTAAAGTAATTGAAAATCTGAATGTTTCAATATGACAGCAACTTAATATGAAGATTATAACAGTAGGAGAAACCTCTCAGGGCTGTTGTAATCTGTAAAGCACATTTATAATCCATATTCTTTGGATTGGAGCATGCTGGGAAAACAAAAGTAACATCTCATTCATGAATATAACTTAATGATTATATTATTTAATACTTGTATCCTGAAAGATTCTTAACTTAAAAAAAATAGGGTCTCTTTGTCCTGTTAATTCTTACTGTCAGAAATAGTCAACCTCGTGGTGCCAGATTTAGTGGGAAAACTGTTACATTTTGAGTGGGGGAAAGCTATTATTTTTAAAAATTAATTTATAATGTTAGACATTCTCTAAGATTTATTGGATTTAATAGATTTTGATGGAGAACAATATCTTTGATAACAAGAGCTTTGTTTGGCAGACTGAAAAAATATATTCCTTTTGTATATTTAGTAGCTGAAAAAGAGTTGAATTGAAAGTTGTAGAAAGTTATTAAAGACCTAGGGTTATAGTAAACCGAAGAGTCCTCCCATCCATTTTGAAATAACAGAAGGAAGAGTTGCCTTTAGAAGAGTTTGGCATGGTTGTCTAGGGGAGACGAGTGAGACTTCGTGAAGATGAAAGAAGAGTGGGAAAGGGGGTGGGGCACCTCACTTTCCTAAGGCTATTAAGATAGTAGAAATTGTCACCAGGAGGCTGATCATGTTAATTAGGAGAGTGCCAGACCTCTGATCTGAACTGAGAGTGTTTTAGCCTGAGCAGACTTGGTCTGGGGAAGAGAAGATTAAAGAATCAGCACAGTGCTGAACATCAGATAACGTTTCCAGGCAGCCCTCATGATTGAGAAGTTAGTGCCAGTTCTTCCTTACGTGCTTCAGTGCAAAAGGTCTGTGAGCTGTAGGTGCTGTGTGTGACACTGACAACTCTGTGTAATATGAATCTATGTTTCATACTCATTGGAGACTGTAGGGGAGAAGAAGGGAATAAGTAAGTACCCACTATGTGTTCTGTGCTTTGCTAGCTACTTATGTTTTTTTAATTTGTATTGTTTGGATTTAATTTTCCATTTCGGAGGTGAGAAAATTGTTCAAGTTAACTTTTGATTAAACACACAAGCCTAGAATTTAGCCTGACTCTACGGCCTGTAAAACACTACCTTAAAGCTATCAAATATTACCATTAAGTATTTTCACTTTGCATCAGTTTTGTAAGGACTGTAACAAAGCCTTTTTTTTTTTTTTCTTGAGAATAGTTTTTTTCATATCCTTGGGCACTCTGGCAGTTGGCTGGTGCACTGGGATGAGGGATTTGGCATTTAAGCTTAACTCTGGCCAGATAATCAAGAGATAATATAGCATTCATATTGTATTTGTTTAACATACATATTTTTATTGCCATCTTTTTAAGTCATTACTTTAGCATGTCTCTCCAATGTGTTTTTCCCAGGTCTCCTCCATCTTTGACTTCTCACTTAAATTTAATTAATCACATCACTTCATATGTTCATGTATTTTCAAAGCAACTTATTTTCTACCATTTTTAAAGTTTGGGAAAATAGCGTTGAGAGACTTTCTTTTCTTTGATACTATTTATAGATATATGATTGAAAACCTTCCGTTTAAAATTTTTTCAGTCTTTTTAAATAAAAAAAGTAAAAGAAGTAACTAAAAAGAAGAGAAGCCATAGTTCTCATTTGCTTCTTAAGTAAAGGCAGTCTGACTGCATTTAAGTATCAAAACATGGAAATCTTCCAGAACAGCTCAAGAGTTCACCAAAAGATAGCCTATAGCCTTCTCCTTTTTTATCTTTTTTTCTAACTTAAAAACAAACCAAATAAAAATCCCAGGGATGAAAAGGGAGAACCTTCTACTTTTTAGTTTAAGCTGTTTTTATTTTTTTCAGCAAGATGCAAAGAGAGACCCAAACTTTAAATCCAGTCAGAAAATACTCTAGCTCAATTAAGAAAATTGACCTTGTTTCTGTTAGTTTTATTTTCATGTAAAGACTGTTTCTATTCAAAGTTTGGAAGTTATTTAACAAAAACTTTTTTTTAAGATTCTGCTGTCCTGTAAACAAACTTGTAGATACTAAAGTTACAGGTGATCTATTAATGGGGTTTAGATAAATACAAATAAGTAGCATAAAGTGTTTTATTTTACCATACTAATATTTGATACCAAATTGATACTACGGTCTATAAGCTTAATACTGAGACATAATACTTATGAACTAAAAATAAAGCACTCTGGAGCTTTATTTATATCCTGGGTATTGACAGAAGGTAAATGATTGATAACAGATTTCCTCAGCTGAAACATTGATGTACTTTTTATGTTGTCGAGATGCGACACACAAAGTAGTTCTGTTTCACTCGAGCTCACTCACTCAGTTATCAGTGTTGTTGTTTTTCTTTCCTGTTTCTAGAAAAGTGTGATTGCCTTACGACAACTGATGCCTAATGCCCAGAGCTTTATTCAGCAGTGTGTTCAGCAGACTTCTAGCGAGGTGGTCACTACTACCTGTACCACGACATCAACACCTTCTCCCGTGGTAACAACAGCAGCTTCCTCCATCCAGCCTGAGAAGCCTGTTGGTGGTTCGGAAGCAGCGGTGCCCGGAACTGTGTCCGTACAAACTCTGAAACCACTTGCTGGTCCAGGGGGAGCAAACACTGGAGTCGTGACACTTCACTCTGTGGGGCCGGCTGCTGTGCCTGGAGGGACCACGGCTGGAACTGTCGTGCTGCAGACTCCAAAACCTTTGGTGACATCCCTGCAGAACACCATGACAACAGTCTCTCTGCAGCCTGAAAAGCCGGTTGTCTCCGGCACAGCGGTGACGCTGGCGCTCCCCTCGGTACCTTTTGGAAAAACCTCAGCAGCAGCTGTTTGCCTTCCGTCCGTGAAGCCCGTTCTTACTTCCGCTGGGACCACGTCCGACAAGCCCGTCCTTGGCCCTCCACTCCAAATCAAACTCGCACAGCCGGGCCCTGTGCTTGCCCAGCCAGCCGGTATCCCGCAGGCAGTTAAAGTCAAACAACTAGTGAGTAACTTTTCATTTCTTCCTCAGTTTCTTCTTTAGAAAAAGTCCAACATTCTGAAAACTGGCAAGACTAGTAAAATCAACCCCTGTGTACCCTTGACCACGGTGGGTGAGTTGGTAACGTTGGAACATGTTGGCTTTGTCTCATTCCCCTCTAGTCACAGGCACAGACACACACATAATTTTTTCCCTGAACCATTTAAGAGTTGTTTGTAGAAATTTTGACTTTGCACTGTTAAATACTGTGTATCTCTTAAGGAAAAGGGTTTCTTTTTCTTTGCATTAACTTCACCATACTATCATGCATGGGAAGTTAATACAGACACAATACTTTCTTTGTTGTCCCAACAAGTTCCTTTATAGCTAGTTTGCTTCCTGATGTTGTTTCTAGTAAAGAATTGCATATTACCCTTGTCATTTTTTTTTCAGACTCCCGTAGTCTAGAACAGTTCTCAACCTTTTGTGGTTATTCATTGTGTTGTAATAATTTTAAGTGCTTGGGGCTAGTTGTTTTTCAGAATATCCTTTTGTGTAATATCCTTGTGTTTCCTCAAGATTAGATTCAGATTAAATATTTTTGGTAGGCTTGTTATTAGTACATAAGTGATGTTATGGTAACATTTCTTTTAAAGTTGCTAAGGAGAGAAGGTGACAATGAGGAGAGCAGATGAGTAAGAAGTGGTGTTTTCTCCTGAACTCTGTAAGTTGGGAAGGAAGTTCTTGGGTAAAAGAACTTGAGTGAAATCTGTGCTGTTTATCTCTTCATGTTTAGATAAACCTTACTCAAGACAAGTTTTATCAGGAGACTGAAAGTATTGTTAAGCTGTGGGAGACAGTACATGGTGAATTAATTGAAAATTATGTTTTTTAAATAAAGTTCTCACCTACCTTATCCTATAACAGAACTAACTGTTCTTTTTTGATTTTTGGTGATTGCACTTGTTCTTTATAAACCTCCTTGTTAACAGCTGTGTTTTGAGTCTCTTTGTTTTAGTGTTTTCTGCTTTTTTGGAGTAGTAAAATTAAGTAAACTTCCCATCCTTGTTTATGTGATCAGAACAAAACATTAGTATCTGTGGATGATGGTCTTTGAGGCAGAAGGCAAACCTTGGGTATAGAATGAAGGTGTAGAATGAAAGAGGAAAGATCAGTTTGGACAGTAGTCAGACTCTTTAATTTTTTTTTTCATCCCTTCCTACTCTGGCTTTGATTTTCAAGTGGAAAAATGTACCTGCCTCATGGTGTTTCTCTTGGGTGTCTGAATTTAGTCTAAGGGATAAAACCTTTAGAAGCAGTGATTCTTAAAACACCTGTCTGAACATCCAGGTTTGTGAGGTGCTGGAACCGTAAATGCCCCAGTGGAAGGTTGCTTTTGGTAACAATGGAGAGAATGGAGATCCTCTCTATGTGTCAGAGCTGATTCTTGAATCAGTGCTCATCTTTATTGAAAATCTGTAGCATATCCACCCCTAAGTGAAATAACACTTCATAGCTACATAGAGTTTTAAAAACATACCTTGTATGCAGTATGGATTTTGAAATAATTTTGATGAAGGTAAGACGGAGAAAACTTAAGAATCCCAGAATTTTAAGGGATCAGTCTGCTGACACTCAAGCAATAGATCTCAAAGTAGAATACATTGTCTTCCCCATTAAATTATGGTGCTCATGGCAAGAACTTCTAGGTTTCTAGAATGTCTTGAAACAGAAAACTGTCAGGTAATAATATCTTGTGGCCTCCAAAGTGACTCAGTGGTAAAGAGTCCACCTGCCATGCTGGAGGCACAGGTTCAATCCCTGGGTCAGGAAGATCTCTGGAGAAGGAAATGACAACTCACTCCAGTATTCTTGCCTGGGAAATCCCATGGACAGAGGAGCCTGGCAGACTACAGTCCATGGGGTCACCAAGAGTTGGACACGACTTAGCAACTAAGCAACAATAATATCTTGACAGCATTTACACTTCATAAGCTTGACTTGTTATACATTAGAAACTATTTCAATCAAGAAAAACATAACAAAATCCACTGGTAAATTTCAGGGATTTTTAAACTTCTACTTTGACTCTTAAAAAAATGGAAATGATTTAGTTTTCTTATGAATTCTGCTTTCTTGTTTGGCCTTTGTTTTAATCAACAGATTTAATGTCAGTATTCCTACTTTACTGTTTAAAACAGCAAAATCCAGAGCAGCTAGACTCTGAAGATGCATTGTAATCTGTTTTATAGCAGATTTTTACCTGGGGCACAAAACAGCATAAGCTGTTCTATATGGTAATGCCACAGAGAGGATTGAATTTGAATGCTCTTTCAAATCAACTAATTTAGAACATTAGTATTACTTAGGTTGGAAATAGTGTTACTCAGGTAGTTTAAGAATATCATCAGTGAGTTCATTACAAACTAGTCCAATTTAATCCTAGGTTGAAGTGAGGAGGAAGACATTCGCGTGCTAGAAACAAGATGGTATTCAATGCAGCTTATAAGAAACATGATGAATAATTATTTAAAATGTGAGAGTTGCCACGCTGGATCAAACCTGTGGTCCATAAAACTCAGGATACAGTCTCCAGTAATGGTCTGAACAATGCAAATGTGACTGTGTTGTTCAGTGTCAGGTGTAAAAGTTTGTGTGGTTTATTTCCTTTAATAATCATGAATTTAAAAGTTCCCGTTAGTACTTTATCCTTTTCTAGCTTGTACAGATTTTTCTGAATAATTCTATAGGTTTTCTTCCTTCTTGATAAGATGTTTTAAATGTCACACTTTTAAGTTACAGGAAGCTTCTTAACCTACCATTGCAGAGTTTAGTTTTATCATAGATATTTCCCTTATTTCAGATATATATTTCCCCAGGTGACTGTATTACTTGCATTTCTTTCTTAACAGAATTGTAGACATTTGATAAATAAGTGGCCAAGTACATTCAACAAATCATTGTCCAACTACTATTGTTTTGTGGATATAAGAGAAAAACAACTAAGTAGTCCATTATTAGTGTGGTAATTTTCATTTTTATTATACTGAAGTGAAACTGATCTCCTAAAATAAATTAACCCAGAATATTAGGGAAGATTTGTTGTTGTTGAATAGGATTTTTGTCCCATAACTAATTGTTTTGAAGGAGAACCATAATGAGTAGGAAACAAAACAAGGATTATTGTTTTGTTGAGTCAAATGGTTCACTCTCAGTTTCTGTTGGACTGACCTAGATCTAGACTTGAGTAATCAGTTTGTGGGTTTGGTTTTATCCTCCCCTTTTTTTGCATGCTGTTAGAAGAGTGAGAGGAGAGGTAGAATTCAGTTGTTGATTGTAACACCACTAAGATAGGACTAATGAAAGACTGGGTGAAGAGGCTGAGTCCAGATAAGGCCTGCTGCCCTTTTTTTGCCATATATAATTAGGAATTGCAGAGAAAAATCTTCGTGGGCTATAATGTGGTCAGAGTTTACATAACAATAGTCTTAACATAGGTTGATTAATGCCAGCTCATTTAAATTTACTTGAAGAATATATGTTTTTTTAGGTTTTATTTTGATATGGGGGCATCAGAATTCATGGAAAATAAACTATTGAAGCTATGTTTACAGTGTATATGTTGTCTTATTTTTGCCTTATTCAAGAAAATGTTTTATTATGAAAATTTCCAAGCATAGCAAAGTTGAGGTTTATCATGAACACTGTATACCAACCACCTAGATTCTATTGTTTACAGTTGCTCTACTTGATTTATCCATTCATCAATTATCTTAATTTTTGATACATTTCAAAGGCTTCTTCCTAAAATATTTTGATATTAATGTGCATATCATTAACTGCCAATCAATATTTCTTTACTCTTTTTCTTGTTTTTAGCTAAAATGTATATACTGTGATGCACAAATTTTAAATCTGTCATTGGATAAATTCTGACAATGCTTAAAAGTGAAAGTGTTAAGTCTAGTGGCTTAGTTCATGTCCAACTCTTCGAGAGTCCATGAACTGTAGCCCACCAGGCTCCTCTGTCCATGGACTTCTCCAGACAAGCATACTGGGGTGGGTTGCCATTCCCTTCTCCAGGGGATCTTCCTGACCCAGGGATCATACCCAGGTCTCCCCCACTGCGGGCAGATTCTTTACCCTTGGAGCCACAAGGGAAGCCCCTTGATGATGCTTACCTCTGTAACTCAAGTCTGCTTTTCAAGATTAGAATGTTACCGTCACCTTGAAGTTTCCTTCTCTCCCTTCCCAGTCTGTCTCTACCTGCATACCTCCAGAACCACTGACTCTTCTAATAATAGTTCTTTGTTTTACTTGCCAAGTAGCAGCAGATCTATCATCCTTGGACTAATTTCCATCTTTCTTAATATCGGTCTCCAGTATATGCCTTATATTATAGTCTAAAACTGTACTTTCTTTGAAAGAACACTGCTGCTGAGTTGTTTTATATTTTCTCATTAGTGGTATTTTATTTTGTTCAGCAAGTGTTCAGGAATATGCTTCACATATGCTCCCGAGTGTTAACAGTCATTAGGACAAGGAATGATGGGGATCCAGGATTGTTAAATCAGTGGACGCATTTGCCTCCTGCCATGTACATGAACTTGCACTGGATTGGGCCTAGATTGGGCCATGCACAGCCCTGGTCTTGGAGCCCATGTGAAGGCTCACCTCCCTACTTGTTCTGTGTCAGGGTCACATGCTGATGCTGGGTTCCTTTGGCCTTCCTACCCCATGCCTCCTGGCCGGTCCCCTAGAGGCTTGGAGCCTACATTCACCTTAGGGGCCAGACTCTATGCTGTAGTTATCATTATGTATATATATATATATATAGAGAGAGAGAGAGAAAGTATCAAAAGTAGTTTGAAAACTAACTCAAATTTCTAATAACATTTTATTACTACCTTTCATAATCAAAATATGAAAACAATACCAAATAAAAGATAGGGAAGAAAATAAACAATAGGGAGATAAGTCAGAGTTGCTAGGAGTATTTGTTTTGTTTTGAGTTTTCATCTGAATGCATAAGTGGGACTCTGAGTGTATATTACTTTGTAGAATTTAAATCTGATTCCTAGAACTTTAGGATACAGAAGTATGATCTCAACTGAAATATATAATTGTTTTCAAGGGTTCTTTCTCTCTTTCAAGAGTCAGTTCTCATAGAATCATGACAATTGAATTATTCCAACTTGTATTTCTCCTCTAGGGGCATTAGTTCCTATATGATTATTTACTGGGACATTTTGGATTTCTTGTAAGTTACTTTTGTTTAGTAATATGCACTAGATTTAATTTTACTTGTAAAAGAATATAGAATAAATTATGAGCTTCTCTGGTGATTCAGACAGTAAAGAATCCGCCTTCTATGCAGGAGACCTGGGTTCAATCCCCAAGTTGGGAAGATCCCCTGGACGAGGGTGTGGCAACCCACTCCAGTATTCTTGCCTGGAGAGTCCCCACAGACAGAGGAGCCTGGTGGGCTGCAGTCCCTGGGGTTGCAAAAAAGTCGGACATAACTGAGCGGTTAAGCCCAGCATATAGAATACATTAAATAACCTCCAGAATTCTGTTATGAAACCAGATCATTTATATTAGCCATATATGAATTTGAGGACTTAAAAATAGTTCACTATGAATAGCTGGCTCAAATACATAGTGACTTTTTTTTTTTTCTTTGAGGTGAAAGAATGAAACTCTACTATTCTGTTTTTTTCTTCTTTGAAGCTAAAAATAAGGCTCTGCTATTACTTTAATTTCTCTTCTTTTATCCCCAACCCTCATCCTGTGGATTTCTTGAACTGTTATCTTGGAGAATGCCTTTAGCATTGCTATCTTTCAGATACTTTTAAAAAACAACTGTTTGAAAATCATTATCTTTTAGAAGTATATTTTGAAATATTTATGGATTAAAAGATATACCTGAGATTTGCTTTAAAATAATTGAGGGTGGGGAGAAGTCGGTAGGGATAGAGATGAATTAATCATTGCTGAAGCTGGGTAATAATGGTATAGGTGTTTTCATTTTTTGGTTGTTGTTCCCTCTGCTTTTGTATGTCTTTGAAATTTTCCATGGTAAGTTAAAAGGATGAAAATAAGATCTGTTTGGAGATTTAAGTTGAGCCGTGTGTAAGTTTGAATTCCACTCTGAAAATTACCGTGTGAGATTATCATGGTTTTCACTTTGGGCTAGGTAAATTTACCACATACAAATTTTTTTTTTCCATTTATTTTTATTAGTTAGAGGCTAATTAGTTTACAACATTGCAGTGGTTTTTGTCATACATTGAAGTGAATTAGCCATGGATTTACATGTATTCCCCCATCCCGGTCCCCGCTCCCACCTCCCTCTCCACCCGATCCCTCTGGGTCTTCCCAGTGCACCAGGCCCGAGCACTTGTCTCATGCATCCAACCTGGGCTGGTGATCTGTTTCACCCTAGATAATATACACGTTTCGATGCTGTTCTCTTGAAACATCCCACCCTCGCCTTCTCCTACAGAGTCCACAAGTCTGTTCTATACATCTGAGTCTCTTTTTCTGTTTTGCATATAGGGTTATCGTTACCATCTTTCTAAATTCCATATGTATGTGTTAGTATACTGTAATGGTCTTTATCTTTCTGGCTTACTTCGCTCTGTATAATGGGCTCCAGTTTCATCCATCTCATTAGAACTGATTCAAATGAATTCTTTTTAATGGCTGAGTAATATTCCATGGTGTATATGTCCCACAGCTTCCTCATCCATTCGTCTGCTGATGGGCATCTAGGTTGCTTCCATGTCCTGGCTATTATAAACAGTGCTGCGATGAACATTGTGGTGCACTTGTCTCTTTCAGATCTGGTTTCCTCGGTGTGTATGCCCAGAAGTGGGATTGCTGGGTCATATGGCAGTTCTATTTCCAGTTTTTTAAGAAATCTCCACACTGTTCTCCATAGCAGCTGTACTAGTTTGCATTCCCACCAACAGTGTAAGAGGGTTCCCTTTTCTCCACACCCTCTCCAGCATTTATTGCTTGTAGACTTTTGGATAGCAGCCATCCTGACTGGCGTGTAATGGTATCTCATTACCACATACAAATTTAAACTTTTAAGTAGGCTTTCTTGTGATGCTAAGGTAAAGGTATGTATGGTTAAATGAGGACAATCATTTGTTCTCTTGTTACAGTTGTAGTTTTGTTCTTTCCTAAAGCAGGTCTAGTTGAAGGACTGTATTAATAGTTCTCATTGTTTCAGGTAGTCCAGCAGCCTTCAGGAGGCCTTGCAAAACAAGTGACCACTCTTACCCATTCCCCAGCATTGACCATCCAGAAACCTGGACAGAAGATGGCAGTGAGCACCTCAATACCTACCAGTCAGTTTTCGCAAGGTAGATTATAACTAATCTCTGCCCCGTCATGCTGGGCTTGGAACATGATGGGTTTCTGTACTTTTTTTTTTCACCATTATACTCAGAGAAGAGAGATTTCTTTTAAGTTGAGACCTGTGAGAGAAGACTGAAAAATAGCTTAATATTATATTCTTTGTACATAGCCACTTTTTAGGGGTGTATGTTGTTTTAGATTAAATCAACACCATTCATGGTATTTTGTAACTAGATAAAACAATCTACTAGTAAATACATTACTTTTTTTTAACATAAATTTTGCTATTGCCTTATTTCTTTTATTAAAATTTTGCTTTTTTTCTCTACATTTGGAAGTCAGTCTTACAAATGAAAAGAGTCTTTATGTATTTTTAAAATCCACCAATACAAAAGATATAGTATAACATGTTTCTTTTCTTCATAGTATTTTTCATAGTATTCTTCATAGTATTTTTGTAACGCTGGTAATTCTCTAGACAATTTGGGGAACATATAAAAAGAAATGGAGAGGTCTTGATTTTGTGATTTCTTGCACAAGGAATAAATTAATTGTAAAGTTTGAATTTAAATATAGTTCTAGAAAGCTTTGAAATTTTCTTTGATTATTCTATATGCATTGAAAATAGCTATTGTCCTGAATTTTTTCCTGATGTGTGATTGCTTTTTTTTCATTTTACTTTTTCTGTCTTCTTTTGTTTTTATAGCTTCCATTCTAAAGCAAATTACTCTTCCAGGAAATAAAATTGTGTCACTTCAATCATCTGTTCAGAAAAACAAAATAAAAGAGAATGGAACAATATCCTTCAGGTAAAAAAATTCAATTATCAAAATTTTGTCTGATTTAAGAAATTAATATTCTTTTGAAAAACACAAAAGAGATGACGAAATAATACTTATATAAAATAAATTTAATGATGCCTTTTGAAAAAGCTAACAATGCTTTATTGAGTATAATTTATAAGTAGTAAAGTGCACAGATCTTAAGTGTAGAGCTCAATGAATTTTGACAAACATATACCTGTGTAATCTTAATTCAGACCAAGATGCTAAACATATCCATCATCTTTATGCTCCTTTCAAATCAATTACTTCCAACCTTGCCTCTGGCAGCCACTGTTCTTATGTCCATCACTATAGATCATTTTTGTCCATTCTTGAACTTTACATAAATGGAAAATTGCATTATCTACTCTTTTGCATTTGATTTTTTTCACTCAACATGTGTTTGAGATTCATCTACATCATTTTTATTATTATAAGATTGCTATTTTGTTCTGGTGAACAATATTCATTATCTCAATGTAAATTTGGTTATTTATTTTCCTGTTGATGGACATTGAGTTGTTCCCAGTTTTTAAATGATTCTATAAAGTTGCTGTAAACATTTCCATACAGATTTTTATGTGAACATAGGTTTCATTTCTCTGTAGTTAACATCTAAGAATAGTATTGTGGGGTCACTAGGTAAGTATGTGTTTTACTATTTAAGAAGCTATCAAAGTGTTTATCAGAGGGACTGTACCATTTTTCATTCCCACCATCAATGAGGAGACTTCCACTCCAATTTTAGTGCTTGTTATTGCCAATTCTTTTGACTTTTACCATTCTAAGTATACAGTGGTTATTGTCACTCTCATTTTAGTTTATATTTTCCTAAAGACTTAAGATGTTGAACATCTGTTCTTGTGCTTATTTGCTATCCTTAACACTACCTTCTTTGGTGAAGTAATCTTTTGCCCATTTTTCTTTTGAATTGTTTGTGATTGCATTTTTAGAGTTCTTTATATATGTTCAAGATCCAAGTCATTCTCTTACCAGTGTCTTTCACAGAGCAAAAGTTTTAATTTTGCTGTAGCCCAGTTCATTAATTTTTTTCTCTTGCAGATTATGCTTCTCATGTTTTATATAAGAAATGTTTGTGTAACCAAAGGTTATAGAAATTTTCTCCTGTTCTTTGTTCTAGAAGTTTTACAGTTTTATGTTTGTCCTTCTTGGATTGATACTTTTTAAAATTCACCAGTTGCTTACTTAAAAATCTGTGTGTGGATATTCTATTTTCTTCTTTATATGCTCCCATTTTTAGTTGCATAATTTGTCACAGTATGTAAGCATTTGTACATTAATCCCCCACCCCTCATCCCCACCAATACTTTAGTTGTAGTTCTACTTTTATATTAAAATGCTCACCTTCAGTCTGTTCTCTGGAGTTTTTCTCAGTCATCTCTTGTTTGGATGAAATTAATTGAATGTGGTCCATGCTTTGATCTACCAGGACACTTCTTTAGTGTTTTTTGACTTGGGATGTACTTAGTCTTCCTGCCAGTGGTATATTTCATCCTTTATTCTGCCACTAGTTCTCTGGTCTCTCTCCTGCAATTTTTATTCAGTCTGCTTTTGCCCAAAACATCTTGAGATAGGGTGAGTGAGTTGAGGAATCGGTCACCATTGGACAAGAAAGTGTGCACTGGAAATTGTTGTTTTGCTTTTTATTTATCCTTGTTTTGAAGTTTGGATAATTCTTTGTCTTCAAGTTGTACTGAGGCTGTGGTGTTTGTTGTTCTGTATTGCTTGGGGGAAGTAAATGTTGGAAGATGATGACCTTGGCAGTCATCATTGTCTTCCAATGCAGTGAGTTTCAACAAAAGACTAAATTCATGTACCAAGTACTCAGTCAAGATACATAGAATATTTTCAATACCCTGAAAGCCTCCTTTGTGATACTTCCCAGCCAGTCCCCTCATTATACCTTAGGCAACCACTAACTGGCTTCTTATCATTGTTGATTTTTCTTTCCTAGGGTTTTAAATAAGTAGAATTGTATAATTTGTATTCTTCGCTTGGTTTCCTTTGCTCAGCATAATGTATTTCATATACATCCAGTGTTGTTGCATGTATTAGTAATTTGTTGCCTTTCTTTGCTGAGTAGTATTCCACTGTATGGTGCACTGTGGTTGTTTGCAATGAATTGTTTATCTCTTTAGCCATTGGTAGATATTCAGGTTGTTTCATGTTTTTGGCTATTGTGAGTAAAGATGTTAGAAACATCTGTATCCAAGTCTTTGTATGGACATAAGTTTTCCCTTGTGTAAATATATGAGCAAAATTGCTGAATCATTTAGTAGGTTTATGTTTAACTTTATAAGAAGCTGCCAATCTGTTTTCCTATGTGGTTGCACCATCTACAGTCCTACCACAAAGTATAAGAATTTGTTCCAGTTGTTCTATATCCTTGCTCAGTGGATGGGTAAATCAGGTTAGAACTGACAGCCGCTGAGTTTGCTTTACTCCAGAGAAGATCTGTGACTGTGCCTCATGGGAACCAGGGAGGATTTGGCACCACGTTAGCACCTGCTCTGGAGAACCTGACAGTTTCTCCACTCTAACAGAGGCCAGAAAACTAGTGCCAGCCTCAGGCATTTGCCCTTGAGGCAGTTCTACCTTTAGAGTGTACTTGGTGCTTATTTTTACTGATACTTTTTGACAACTTCTGTGCGCCCAACATTGGAATGAAAAAGGCTTAAACTTGCCTAAATTAGAATGCCATATAATTTCTCATGGGTACATCTAGTCCACTTAATGCCTGATGCAAAAGTGTCACCATTAGCAGATTTTAAATCACAAAACTAGCTTTATCAGTCTCCTCCTTTTATAACTTTTGAATTTTGCATTATTCTAAGAAATCTTTTCCTATCCTGAGCTTATAATGATGAGCTTGTGTATTTTCTTCCAAAATATCTATACACACTCCATATATGCAGTAGACCTTTACAAAATCATCAGTAGTGCTTGATTCTATCTTTGTAAATAGCTGAAGCAGAAATAACCTTTTCCTGGCTGGGTTGCTTACATCAACAATAGTTACTGAAGATTTCATCATCTTTACTTTTCTGATATGAAATGCTACTTTACCTTTCAGTAAATCCCCATTTGTTCAAGGGTATATTTCTAAAATTTCATTTTACTGCTGTTTTTGTTTTATTTCTATGTTAATATTTTTGCATTTTCATTTCTCTTGCTTTCATTATTTTTATATCTGGATAAATTCTCTACTCCTTTCTTATCAAAAATGTCTTGACTTGTTCTTTTACATATAAATTTCAAAATCAGCGGGGCAGTTCTTTTAAAATTTTTTACTGAGATTACCTTGAACCATAGTTATATTTATTAGAGTTCAGTAAGGTTGTAGCTGACGGAAAAACTGAAGAGTAGTGGCATAAGCAAGATAAGATTCTTCCCCACATTTAGGAAAACTGGAAGTAGGCAGACCGTTACGGGTATAGCATTCTCTTCGTGTTCGGGACCCAGGAGTTCTGCTCCCTTCCTTTTGGTTCTTCATACACACTAGTCAGGCCCGCTGTACAGTTTTTAGGTGTGGTTATTTCCTGCATTTTCTTTCCCCATCTTCATATGGACCAATCCAGTTTAAAAGCTTCTGTTTATAACAGTTATTATTAATATTTCAGTTTAAAAGTTATCTGACTAAAGAGTCTTTGCTTGGCTAACCCTATGAAGTAGCTTTTTCAGTCACATCTGCTGTCTTGAAGCACTTATCTAAAGTTACTCTTATTTATTTGTTTATCCTTCTTTATACTCCCCAATCTCTCTGAGAATTCGTTGTAACTTTACCGTTGTGTACTTAATGTGTAGAACAATGCCTTGTTCATAATAAGCATTCAGAAATTTGTTGAAATAATGAATTTCGAAAAAGAACAGGAATATCTATAATCTTAGATATAATCTATTTTTAAGATAAGTTTTATCTTAGCTCTAATATGCACTTTTCATTTTTGTATAATATGTTCTAGTTATTTGGGTCATATGTGACTTTATGCATATCTTTTTATAGTGATGTCTTTTTGTTAAGTTTGCTTTCTCAGATATTTAGTATTAATATCACTTCATTTACTGTTTAGGTAAGAGACTCTATTTAGGTAAGAGGATGTAATAGTGTATGGCATTAGATCTTGTCTTGACTTAACTGGATGAGGTTAATAGCAGAGTGATATCCTTCTGTATTTTCAAAACTACTTAAATGAAAAGAAAATTTTTGTGACTTTTTCCCTGCATAAATCATATTTTCTTTTGTGCTTGTTGGTATCATCTGGGATGAATAAAGGAAGCTATATAGTGTTTAAACACCAGAGGGTGCCAGAGATTCGTGTTTTATTCTTTTTATTTCAGAATCAGAAGTGACAAATATTACAGTACCTCTGCGTGTTTGTGTAGTTAATTTTATTTAAACTGGAAACTGGAAATTTGATGATCATAAGGAGTTATTGTTGATTTTTTTGAAGAGGTGATACTGTCTTATGATTAAAGTTTTTCTTTAGAATCCTTTTATTTTAGAGAGAGAATAAAATATTTGTGGATGGCTATTATATATGTGTAGATATTTATGTATACATGTATAACTTAGGAGGAATTATAACAGCTAGAGGTTAAGTGGTTTTTTAAAAAAATTTGCCATAAAAGACACTTAGAAAATAACATAGGACAAGGTTACATACTGTTTGTACAGATATTACTCCACCAACTTTAATGTCCCATTTTCTTCTTATTGCAAGAATCAGATTCTCTAGTGTAGGTTAAACATGTGCTCTATCTTGATTCATATGTAATTAATTGTTTTATTACGTATTTATACATAATAACAGATGGTTAATCATTCCAAGGAAGGACTTAGAAAACTGTCTCTGGTGATAAAATCTTGGAAGGACAAGAGACGGAAGAAACATCCTTCTGAGCTGTGCAAATTAATTCTAAATCTAGGGTTAAATTCAACAAAGAAAAGTCTTGGAGGAGTTGCC